TCAATTTGCAAACTACCTGTTCTCCCTTTAAACCACTAAGGCCTCACCTGATGGAAACAATACACTTCACTCATTATGTCTGTTACTTGTTCCCGTCTCACCTCTTTTGGATCCACCCTAAATCCCTTCAAGTCATACAAGTCAAACAATAAGTATTTACCGAACACTTACCATGTGCCAAGCGCTACTCAGTCCCTACAGACATAACAATCATGAACACAAATCATTCTACTTCTGTATAGCCAGGGCATGATCAGGGTCACAGAGAATTAAAAAAACCAAATCATATCTAAAAACTAATATTAAGATGATCTGACTTCAACATTGTACTTCTTAAATTGTTTTAAAATATCAAGCTTACCAACTTACACATCAGATTGGTTTTGCTCATATAAAGCTTTCATCTCCTCCAGAACTTGCCTCAGTCCATCTTCCTGGAACATATAAAATTACACTCATTAATTCCCCCACCAAGTTTGTAGCAATACTCTATGCTTATGTACCTTAGGAAAAACCAATAGTCCTTCCACATCTACTAAGACGGCTATAATAACAAGTGTTGGAGAGGATGGGGAGAAACTGGAACCCTTGTACAACACAGGTAGGAATGCAAAATGGTACAGCGGTATAGAAAATAGCCATGTGGGTCTACAAAAAGTTAAATTTAGAATTACCATATTATCCAGCAATTCCTCTTCTAGGAATACACTCAAGAAAACTGCAAACCTAAGTTCATACAAAAACTTCTGCACAAATATGCAGACTAGGATTACTCATAACAGCCAAAAAGTGGAAACAATCCAAAGGTCCAACTGATGAACAGATAAGACAAAATGGTATGTCCATTTAATGGACTATTACTCAGTCAAAAAAAGAAGTGCTGATACATAAAACAACATGAACTTTGAAAACACTGCTTAGTGAAATAAGCCAGACAGAAAAGGACAAATATTGTATGATTCCACTTACCTGAAATGTCTAGAATAGGCATTCATAGAAACAAAGCAGATTAGAGGTTACCAGGCTGAGGGGGGAAGAGGAGTGGGGAGTTACTTCTTAAAGGCTACAGAGTTTACTTGGGGTTATGAAAAAGCTTTGGAAATAGGGGTGATGGTTGCATAATAATGGGAATATAATTAATGCCACTGAAGTGTACACACAAAAGTGGTTAGAAATGGCAAAGTTTAAGTTTTGTATCAAAAAAAAAGGAATGAATTGCCAACAAAATACACAATTAACATACTAATTAAGGATAATCTTAAATACATTGTGTTGAGAAGTCAGACAGAGTACATCCTGTATGCTTCTAATTGGCCCCATACAGAGAAGTCTGCAATTCCTGGCATGCTGACTCCAGAAATACAATAAAAAAGACAAATATAATCTGTAGGGGAAAGAAAATCCTTGGTTGCCTAGGGCTGCAGATGGGAGGTAGCCAGTGCCACAAAAGAGAAAAGAGAATCCTTGGGATAGCAGATATCTTGGTTAGGTTGCTGGTTACAAGGATTGTATACATTTGTCAAAACTCAAAGGTCTATTAAAATGTGTACTGTGTTGTATATAAATTATACCTCAATAAAACTAATGACAAAAAACCAATAGTCTACAGAAGTAATAACACATGACAGAAGCATATAAATAACTTATTATTTATTGGAAAAGGATTTTAAAAGGTTACTACCAAAAAAAAAAAACAAAACCAAAAAACACCTATACACTGCCAGGATAGAAAACAGAAATGTCAAAGGCGTTTTTCTGCTGTCCACTTGGGCAAATTTCTAAAAAACTTCCCTTGGAGGGATAAAAACATTATATTTATAAAATTCATAAATGTTATACAATGTCTGTCCAAAAGCAACCCCTACACCTGAAACACTGTAAATAAACTATATTTCAATTAAAATTAAAAAAAAAAAAAGAACCCAATAATGCTATAACAAGGACAACCAAAAAAAAAAAACCCCACAAAACCTCAAAACAATGATAAGCAACCCATCTACTTTTAGAGCTACAATATATGCATTAGCAAAAATGTTTTGGCACTACTGGTATAATTACAAAATTACACTACTTAATCCTGCTTGAATATAAGAAATCATTTCTAACGAAAAATGAAAGCATGACTTCTACTTTCTTTTTCATCAACTGGTTAAAAAGATATGGAAAATTCTGATTTACTAAAATTCAGTTAAATATTCCTTTTATCACAAATATTAAGGAACAGTTGAAACTCTTGCACAATTAGGAGATCAGTAGCTATACAAAAGACAAGAATGAAATAAACTTGTAAAAATACAACCAAATTTTCAGTATATGTGCTGCTGAAGTGAGCACAAGATACAACAAAATTTTCAGATTTAAATTTTTATTTATTGTTTTAAGACTTAGATTTTTAAAATTTACACTGGGAATTGCATCATTTTGTGCTCCCACCTCCAGCTGTAAGCCCCTGGGAACTCAAGATAATTTTCCTAAAGACTCAAATGATTATCAGTTCTGCATATCCAAAGTGCATCATTCCAATTTGCCAAACACAGCACCTAACCATGAGGGATTCTGGAATGAACAAGGCAGAGTCCCTGCTCTAAACCAGCTACCATCCGCTGGGGAGGAATGATTCTCGAAAGCATGTGTGGGTCAAGGGTGTGAGGGGTCAATCAGATCAAGATCAATTCTTAATCTAACCCAGCTCAGCTGTCCCAGGGGCCAGCCCCTAAAGGTAGGCACTACTGCAAGAAACGGTGCACCTACACCCTCTAAGACCCAGAAAAGCCAGGATTTTACACTTCTAAGAAACCAACACTTAAAACCCAAGCGAAAAAGACAGCTGGACTAACAGTCTGAAAAGCCAGCCCCTTGGGCAGTGTCTGCCTGCGCCTTTGGGCTCGTTTCTTCCCATGTAACTTAGTCTTCCCACTCTAGTGGGGCCATATTGGAAAGCCTCCATCCCTCTCAAACATCTGGCTTAAAACTCAGCATTAAAAAAACTAAGATCATGGTATCCGGTCCCATCACTTCATGGCAAATAGATGGGGAAAAAATGGAATCGGGGCAGAATTTATTTTTTTGGGCTCCTAAATCACTGCAGATGGTGACTGCAGTCATGAAATTAAAAGACCATTATTCCTTGGGAGAAAAGCTATCACAAGCCTAGAGAGCATTTAAAAAGCAGAGATACCACTTTGCAGACAAAGGGTCCTACTGTCAAAGCTACGGTTTTTCCAGTAGTCATGTACGGATATGAGAGCTGGATCATAAAGAAGGCTGAGCACCGAAGAACTGATGCTTTTGAACTTTGGTGTTAGAGAAGACTCTTGACAGTCCCTTGGATAGCAAGGAAATCAAACCAGTCAATCCTAAAGGAAATCAACCTTGAATATTCCTTGGAAGGAATAATGCTGATGCTGAAGCTCCAATACTTTGGCCACCTGATGTAAAGAGCTGATTCACTGGAAAAGACCCTGATGCTGGGAAAAATTGAGGGTAGGACGAAGGAAAAGGGGGCTACAGAGGGTGAAACAGTTGGATGACATCACTGACCCAATGGACATAAATTTGGGCAAAGTCAGGGAGAAAGTGAAGGACAGGGAAGCCTGGCCTGCTGCTGTCCATGGGGTCACAAATACTGGGGCATGACTTATGGACTGAACAACAGCACCAACAACTCCTCTGAGTTCTGTGTCTCCAGTGAACCTCCCGCTGTGGTCTCCTAACTTTTGAGATAAGGTAACTGCCTGAAGTTACAAGAATAACAGACTGGAATCGAAGAAAACTGTTCAAGTTGAGGCTCCGCTTCCAACACGCTGCAAGTTCAGAGGAGCCCTTTAACTTGATCCTTAATTCCAGCAGCTCAGTTTCCCCATCTGTTAAATAACCCAAGTGTCAGCCTAACTGCTCTTGAATGTTCAAAACTCACCTTACCCAGACGCTCTTCCGGCTGACCGCCAGATGTTTACTCTGCTACCTGAGTGAAGCCTCCAGAGACGCCGGTCTCTCCACTCCCCGGCGACTCCTCTCACCTCCACCCCCGTCCTCCTACCTACCAGTCCTGTCGTCTTAGGACACGGTGTTCAGGGCCCCCCGACCGGGCTGTGGACCACATCCATCGCTTCTGTGGTCTATTGATAACCCACTCAGAACCAGTCTTTCTTCTATCCGGTCCATTCCCCAAAGTGCTGCGACAGCTATCAAAACACAGAGTGATCCCATCGCACCTCTGAAATGCCTTGCAGAGACGAGCAAACCTCCGGGCCCCGGAGCCCGCCCTTCCCCGGCGGGGAGGGGTGTTTGCACGGCCGGCTCTCCGGTGGGGCTACACTCACCGCAGCCCTCAGGGCACGGCCCTAACGCCGGGGCTACCCCGGTTCACACCTCCCCGGTGTAACTCACACCTGAGCTCTAGCACCCCGTCTCCTGGTCTCTCTGCGCCTCACTGGGGCCAGACGCCCACCGCCCAGCCCGCGCCGCACAGCAGCTACGAGCACGCCGGGCGGCGGCGGCCGCGAGAAGCGAGGAGAGTGGCGGCAATCCCTGCTCTCGCGGGAAGCCACCAAAACCGACCTGCCCACGACCTTCCCATATCCACGGAGGAGAACCATAGGCACACCCCCATCCCGCTCTGGGTTGTGTAGCCCCAGAGAAGCGCCCTGGGGAGGACCCCGCCCTCACGTTGAAAGCAGGCAGCCTTCCCTCGGCCGCGCGCTGCAGCTCCCGGACCAGCTCCATGGCCTTCTCGCAGAACATGGCCCAGGCGCCGGGCCCTTTGGACCACCGGCTCTCACCCTAACGGCCGCCTCACTCACTGTTCCCTATGGCTTTTTGCTCCTATTGTTCCCAGGAGCGCAGTGCCGACCCCGCCTCCGCCCCGTTTTGGCGCCAAAATGGCGACCAATAGGAGCGCAGTGCTGGCTTCCGGGCCACGGTGGCCGCCAGGGGACATTTGCCTCCGCGGTGCAGCCGCAGTGCCCCCGGGAGCCTCGCACTGGGGCGGTTGCGGGCCTCGGTCCGGCTTCAGCCCCACCGCTGTCCAGGCCTCGGTCCAAGCTCAGGCTGAGCGGCAGGACAGCTCTCACGCAGCCCAACTCGGGATGGACGCACGCCCGATCTTCCGTTGGATTCAGTCATTCTCCTTTTGGTTGATAGCGTGTGAACCTTGGGGTCTAGAAGGCAGGTCCTGAAAAGGTGGGCATTGATGTTGGGACCCAGCGTTGCGTTCTGTTCGGTTTTGCATTGTGGATTTTTTGTGTTATAACAAAGCGAAAACAACTTTTATTGGGTAGCTCTTGTGTGCTGGACCTAGACTGTGACATTCTTCATGTAATTCTCATGGTTAGCCCTAAAGTGGTTGTTAAGATTCTTGGTGCTGAGTAGGAAATGGAAGTTAAATAACTATTATTGTATGTGAATACACATAGCCGTATTCTCACCTGCATGATAATGGAAATTTTCATATCCACACAGAATCAAAAGTGGGAATTACTACTATAGAAACAATTCATATTACTTGTCTTTTTTGGGGGGCGCCGCTGCAAGGCTTACGGCAGCTTAGTTTCTCACCTCTGCCCCTTGCAGTGGAAGTGCAGAGTCCTAACCCCTGGACCACTGTGACTTTTCTTTTTTTTCAAAGCAATGTGACTTGGATTCATTCTATCTAACCCTAGAAAATTTGTTCCTTTTTGGCAAATATAGACACAGTAGATGTGTGATCTGAGAGATGAGCCTGGAAATGGCTCACAGGGTCTCTGAATCTTATCTTTACGTCCAGTGACATTTCTTTCCCAACTCTACAGTAATAGATAATTTAAGGGTTTTTATTAAATACATAATTATATAGTGGACCACCCACCTGCCTTACAGAAGATCCGTGAGAGCCTGGCGTGCTCGCCTTGTGTCCCCGCCTCAGTGTTTGAGCTCTTGGGGAGCATGTTGGTTCCCCAGCAAACCTGCTCCTCCTTCCACTTCCTGTCCCATTTTAGGGACCGCCATCTCTCCAGCTTCTCATGCAGAGCTTTGAAGTCACCTCTTATCACCCACAGCCAGTCTACTACCAAAATCTCTCAATGTTCACCCAAAACGTTACACAAAATGGTATCCTTCTCTCCGTCTTTGTCTTCACCCCTTAAGACTGAGGCAATAAGCAGCAGCCTCTTACCCATTTTTCTCTCTTTAGTTCTGGCCCAGCTATTCTATTCTCACTGTCAATGGAGTAATCTTTTCACCACATTATTTGGGTACAGCCACTCCTGGTTAAAACCTTTAACTGCTTCCCAACCAGAAAGATCAGCATCTAAAACCTCAACATGACCTTCTAGGCAGGGACTACATGGAACTTACTTCTCCAGGTTCCTCAGGCCACTCCTCCCTGTGCTTAAGGTGACCCCCCTTCTGCCTGGTCCCACAGCCTATCTGTCCTCCTTCTTCTGTTCCTACCTTCTCCTCTGCTCCCACCTTCCTCGTGGTCCTACCTGTCTCCCCTTCTTCTCAGCCCCACCTCCTCCCTGTCCCATCTTCTTCTGTTCCTACCTTCAACAGTCCTGCCTGTCCCAGAGCTTTTGCACTTGCTGGCCCCTCTGCATGGGACATCCCAGTACCATTCTTCACCTTGCCACCTCCAAGGCATCCTTTGCATTGCAGCCTCCAGGGGACCTCAGAGAGCCGTCTTTCCCCAGGTCACCAGGACGACCCCTGCTCCCGCACAGCACTGTGGACTTTCCCTTTGCAGTATTACCATTTTATGACATTTCTGTGATTGTGTATCTATACTTGGCTTCCACACTTGCCTGAAGGCCATCAGGGAAAGGACTGTGTTTATTGTATGTTGCCCAGCACCTAACACACAGGATAAACTCAGAACGCATGTGTTGAATGAAGGAGTATTTATGACTGCAGATGACACATATGTCGCAGCATGCAGTAGGCCAGCCCCACACAGGGATGCTTTCAGGGTGCTGCATTCATAGCAGCCAGGGTGATCGTTAGAACACAAACGTGCCACCACCTCCCCGACATGCTTAAAAATCTCACCTGGTGTCGCCCTTTGCCTGCTCACTAAGTTTCAGCCACACTGGCCTTTGGTAATGATCAGGTCCCTGAGCATCCCACCCTCTTTCATGACTCAGGGCCTTTGCACATGCTGTTTCCTCCAACTAGAATGCTCTGTGCCCACAATCACTTCCTCGCTAAAACCTGCTTCTTCTGGATCCAGTTGAAATGCCTCTTCCTGGGAGAGAATTTCCCTCATTCCTCAATCTACTAATATTTTTAAGACATGATTCTCTCTCCAAATGTGGTGTTTTCCTTCACAGAAGGTAGTCTGACCTGGTTTACCTGCATTTAACATCTGCCTTCTGTGTGACACTGTGAGGGCCACCGAGGGCAAACCTCTTGATTCTGCTTACAGTCGAAATACCAGAGCCATTTATCAGCTCATAACTGTTGAGTGCATATCTGTTGCATGAACAAATGAATGACTTGGGAACCTGAGTTCAGGACTTTCCATTTCCCTTATATTTAATGCAGACCTCTTGCACATCAGTTCCTCGTTCATTCTCAAACACAGTCACTGCGAAGTGTTCCAACCGATCTGTGTCCACAAACCTTAACAACACGCTACTGATTTCTAGGCCCAACTAACTGATGAAAACACTACCTCGCAAGGCCAAGGATGAAATCTCATGTGCAGACAGACTTCTCTCCAGGCTGAGCTCTGACTACCTCCTCTTTCCTCCAGCAGTCAGTACTCTTGTGTCTTATTCTTCACCCAGTCACAGGATCCTCTGAAGTTTGTCATTCAGCCCAAATTCTCCGCTGTGCCAACTACCATGCTTGGCTGTAAATAGTCTTCAACTCCAGAACCCTCTAACCTACCAAGCTGCCTTCTGCTGCCTTCTGCAGCACAAGTTCTCCGCAAACTTCAAACTTTTGGAAGTCAGTGCTGCTCCTGCTAAATTTGCAAACTGTCTGTTCTCCCTTTAACCCACTAAGGGCTCACCTGATGACAACAAGCAGTGGAAACAATACATACTTCACTCGTTAGGTCTGTTGCTTGCCCCTTTGCTGGAAGTTTTCACCTTCATCTCAGGTTCAAAGGGTTTGTTAACAAAACAAGCCACTTGTTATATACAAATAAATAATATATTTATTAGAGAATTATCTAGCTTACTTTCAACATACTAACATTAAAAGAAAAGAGAAATAGAGCAGAGAACGCATCACTAAATTGGGTTTTTGAGCAACATCCAGCCTTAATCATTGCTGGGAAGTCCATTTGTGTCACAGCATGTTTGGAGTCCCAATTCGGAAAGGGTCCCAGGCAGTGAGTCCACTATGTGGGTGAGACTTCAAAGATTGCTATTTGGGGTTCCTGTTTATAATCCCAGGGTGAAGGCAAACTGACATCATGGTCAATCTGTAACCAGACTGCAAGCCTGGCTTCCCTTTAATGCTGTTTGTTTTTGTCTTGTAAAACTTGGAATATGACTAAGCCTGGGGCTTGGTTGGCCAGGCCCCCCTCCAGGGGCTCAACAATCTCAAGATTTCTCTCCCATCTTATCTATGGTGTTTCAAGTCTTGCACTCACAGCAGGCAGTCACTCCCAGTCACTCCCAGTCAGGGCAGTGTCCAGTTAGGTTAGAAGCAAGGTCAGAGGCTGTTCTGCTTTGTCTGTGAAGCCTAAACAAGACTATTTTTGTACAGTTCCCTAACAGTCCACCCCAGGATTGTTAAGGCTGAAGAACATTGGAACAAGGCAAAATAACACAACCAGTCTAATTAACTCTATAAGTAACAGTATAGAACATATTGTAGGTTTTAGTGAAAACAGTCCATTCACAGTAATTGATGGAGTGTTCTAATAAACAGTTCTCAAAGTTGAGAAGTTGGTCCATACAGTGGTCCTTCTGTAGTCTTGCCACAGTCTGTCAGTACAAGGGTGCAGTTATCAAAGTCTAGATAATTTAACCACCTTTGCAAGACTGTATGATTTTATGCTTCTGTGAGCCAACAGCAGGGCAGGTGAACACTTGGCTGTTGGCCAGGTGATATTTTTGTGTTACCATTTGGAGATCCATTTGTTTCATTCTCAAAGAAACAAACTTAACAAGAGGACTAAAGATGCATAAAAGTAGAGAAGAGCTGTCGGGGTGCCTAGGAGAAAGTCTAGACAGGAGAATTGGAACCTGACATTGGCACATGATGTTAGTGTTTCTGTAGGTATGAGAAGATGGAAGAATTTGGGCTCATAAAAAAGAACACATCTTTACCTGCAAACATCTGACTATCTAAAGGCCTGCTTTGTCCATTTTTCCCAGAGCACGGATTGAGTGCCTCATTTCTGAGAGCCACCCTGAGTTCTTTTCAAGGGGTGTTGAAGTTCGGCAGTTGTAGTGGCCATGATTTAATCTTTGTGCAGGCAGTCTTCAAGTGCCAGTTTTCAGTTGCCAGGGCCCCTTCATAGCCACAGATTTGACCATGTTTTGGGGGCATTTCATGGCCATTGTGTCCCATGGGGCTGGAAAGGCTCATTTCCAGGTCTAGCAGAGATTCCATTGATAGGTCACTCAACATGCTGTTATTGGACTAGGCCCTGTGAATAGCAAGTCTGTGGACCATACCTGTCTTGGTCCAGGAAAATATTCCTTCTTGTTGCTTCTTCCCATATCAAGAGTTATATTATTACAATCATTGATCTCATATGGCAGTATCTATTATCATCAGTTTATCAGTGGGTCAGTCACATACTTGGTAATGGAAGAGACAACAATTTTCTGATATAGGCAACATAGAAATTAATATAGCTAGCAGTTATTAATTAGGTCACAAGCTAGAATTTAAGTCAAGAACTTTCATTGGGTATAGCCCAGTATACCCCAGGCCATCTGACTTAGTTAAATATAGCCAGGTGTGAATTTCCTGGATGTACATCACAGAACATTTGATCTTTCAGAGATTGACTACAGATAAAAACTTTAGAAACAAAGTTAGAGTGTCCTTGTAGCAACTTGATAAAAATCTTAACAATACAACATAACAACAAGGAAGTGAATAACAAAACTAGAATGCAAAGTTCAGTGAAACAAACATTTTTCTCTGTGAGGGCATTTACCCTGCAGCCAAGGAAGGCTTTATCCCATCAAAGAAAGGGACTACCAGGCCACCTTACCTGCCTCATAAGAAACCTGTAT